GTCACATCTACTGTCCACCTTGTGGACCCCCTACACACCCTTCCCCATTCCTACTGCACTACTAGTGCCCTTCACCCTGCTGTGACTAATTCCCCCCCTGTACCCTGAGATCCCTAGTAGTGTCCTTCACCCTACTATAGGACTGAATGGTCTAGCCCCCCTGGACACCCCAATAGTGTCCCGCGTTGATGTCCTTCTCTCTGCATGAGGACTAAATGGACGTTCTTCCTGGGATCGGCATTGTGTCCTCCCCCTGCTGTAGGACCAGGTACACCAGCCTCTCATCCAGGGTGCCTTCTGGCTTTGTCGGGGGTGCCTTTTTAAATTGTTTTAAGGTGCCTCCATGTAATTTTTCCCCTGGGGTCCCTCCTTCAAATCCATCCCAGGCCCCTGTCTAGGATAAGGGATTGGTTTTGGGGATTGGCAATGCAGCTTCTGCACGGTTATGTGGTAGCATGCGTTAATCCCGCTGAACCATGTGATGTCCTGCACTGGTGTGAATGGGCCCTTAAAGTGCATTTGGGCCCCAACAATTAACTTTTTTGGGGGGGGTCTGTTAAATATACATTTGGTTCGTTTCAGAAAGTGAGAATCTCTCTTGATCCTGCCAGAAATGTTTGTCAGAACTTCCTGTGCTCTCTGTGCTGCTTTCTTATCAGTTACATTCAGGGCTGCAACAACTAATCGACATAATCGATTATAATCGATTTTATTGAAAAAGTTGTCAACTATTTCAATCGATTAATCGGCTTCCGATTGGTTGCCCCTGTTCACGGCTCCACACACGCTGCGCGCCGCACCTCCTCCCCACCTCAGACCCGCCCGCATCCATGCTCCACACGCCACGCCTCCTCCCTGCCTCACGCTCACCGCCCGCCCAAATCCACGGTCGGCACAGGGACGCAGGGAGAAGAAGTAAGGAGGAGCAGGTGTGGGCGGATGACAGCCGCTGATAGACAGGTCCGATCTCAGAAGCAAGTTGCTGGAAGACTGCTCAGGTAAGCCTGCACTTTCCCCCCACATGGTGCTCTATAATCTATGGCTGGGATTTGTAGTCCTCTATAGTTGATGGTACATTGTGCTGTATATTATACAGCGCAATGTACCATCAGCTATAGAGGAATACAAATCCCAGCAATACATTATACACTTTATAATGTATTGCTGGGATTTGTTGTACTCCTATATAGCCGGTGGTATTCTGCAGTGCGCTGTATAGAGGACTACAACACCCAGCAACAGTACATTATACAGCACAATGCAGAATACCACCAGCTATAATGTACTATTGCTGGGATTTGTTGTATTCCTCTATAGCTGGTGATATTCTGCATTGCGCTGTATAATGTACTATTGCTGGGATTTGTAGTCCTCTATAGCCGATGCCATTCTGCATTCATTGCTGTATAATTTTACACTTTCCATTTCACTATATTGCACACCACACTATCTTTTTTTACTTCCACCGCTCCAAGCTTGCTCCTGTGATGGACTGCAATCTCAATACAAACTAGTAGTCCCATCACTGGAGCCATTTTTAAAAATGTATTTTATTTTCTATCCGATTAATCGAACTTAATAATCGGCTAACTAATCGATTTTGAAAATCGTTAGCTGCAGCTCTAGTTTCATTGTTCCCAGCTATCTGAAGACTACAGATCTCCCCCCCCCTTCATAGTATTCCGGGTTCTCTAGTTGTCTCCCAGGGTGACAACAAAGCTTTTTCCTTCATTCAGTACAGTGAGTGTTGTCACCTTAGGGCAGGAAGTATTGTGGGCAGGATTCAGGAAGTAGAGGCTGGAAATAGCACGGCCTCCACGTCTGAGGACTGGTAAGCGGCACAATGGTCACTTTTTGGTTCTTGGGTTCAGGTATTTTAATGTCATTTCACAATGTTACAATGTGAGCGTCTTTGTCTGCGTCTCCTGTTTAATATATCTGGTGATATTTCCAGGGATGTCTGTGTCCAGGCACTCTTTTATAGCAGGCCTGCCAGCTGTGCTTCAACTACAAATCCCAACATGCCTCTGCCACTGGGAGTCATGCCTGTTACAGTCAGTCTTGCAATGCCTCATGGGACTTGTAGTTCCACCACAGCTGCAGGGCTGGAGTTGTCCACCCCTGTGTGATAGGATGACAACTCCCAATGGTTTTTTGCCCCTAATGAGCCTACAGGCAAGGTCTTCTATAGTCACGGTGAGTAAGCAGGTCCACATGTGCAGCTGATGCTGGAGTGATTGCATGTTGAAGTGGCTGAAAGAGACCAGAGGAGATGTCACAGGGGTCCACTGCAATGCTTTTTTTTCTTCATTCATAAATTTGAGTCCTGCAGCAAGCCAAGCACACTTGTGGAGGGCAGCCCTGTGCTCCATCAATGTGCCATGTGCTTTCAGTAGTGCAGCATGTCCTGAAAGTAAACTTCATGACTAAGTGCACTTATTATTTTTGTTCCCCCCCCCCCCATCCTAATCGCTCCCACCCGTCCCTTCCAGAGCTTTACTTGCTGAGATCTGAGGGTTGGTGTCCAGTGCTGCAAGTCTCCCTCCCCTGGCTGTAATGTGCACGTGTGGCCAGCAGGGGGAGCATTGCACAATAGTTGAATCAGACCTGTCAGATCTCAGGAAGTACAGATCTGCAGAAGGGGGAGGATGGGATCATCTAGGTCAGCGGTGGGGGACAAAAAGAACAAGTGCTTTGTCTAAAATATACATTTTGCATAAAACTATGTGCCCCAAAACATTTGCATGGATCTGAAGCACAAACACATTCATGCAAACCCCTGTTGAAGTTCTGAGTATAGCTGTACTAATGCTCTGTATTTGCCTTTTAGTTCCTGGAGCAAAAATATGGCTATTTCCACTGCAAAGACTGTAAGACGCGATGGGAGAGCGCCTACGTCTGGTGTATTTCTGGAAGCAACAAGGTGAGATCATTGTGGTTACATGAGAGCATATAATCCGAGAGTTGTGATCTTGAATCTGTTACCATTAGATGACTGGGATGTGCTGGTGGGATGGTGCAGAGATCCCAGTACATGGCTCTAAAGCTGCCCATACATCGCTCTATTTAACCTGCAGGCTAAACAAACATTCCTCCAACACTACATGAGGAATCCCTGCTGTTTCATTTGTATTCCGACAGCGGCCACCTGCCCTGTCAAATACCTGAATAGAGCTGAAAGCTCATTGGCTGCTGGCTCTAGTCAAAGATTTTTCCGACCGGCTCCTTCAATCAGCTGATCGAGGGATGCCGGCCAAAAGGGTGCTGACAGCAATTTGTCTGGGAGTGTGGAGCGGCCGTTTTACTACTTCTGCCTTTTATTTTTCAGGTTTATTTTAAACAGCTTTGCCGCAAATGCCAGAAAGGATTCAATCCGTACAGAGTGGAAGAGATTCAGTGTCAGGTAACTTCTGTTTTAATGTTTCAGAAGTAAACCTGTTTGTATGGATGAGATGGAGAACTGAGCAGAATGAGCTTGTGGCTTGTGAGAATAGCTTTTATTTTGGGACTGTGGAATATACTTTAGGTTTTGGAGTGTCTAATAGTCCCTAACGTGTGGGTGGTATGTTGGTGTGGTAATACAAACGTACATCATACATGTTGAAAGCTTTAACAGCTTTATTAAAGCCAAAGGTTAAGCATATGGCTTAACATGTTTAGAATGTTGGTCTCGCCTAGCTTCGATCAGCCATGCTTACCAGCTCATGTGGTTGGAAGAGAACTCAGCCACCACCTGGGGATCATCCCTGTGCTGTTGCATTCTGTGCCGATATATAGTATTGGATTGTGGGAATTGGTGCACTGCAGCCTGATTCTTGATTGTAGAAAGACACAAAGTCCTGACCTGGGTAGCAATTTGTATGGTCTGAAGTGCTGGCTGTAGCTTTGTGCTCTTTTGAACACTTCAGGTAGTCTGGAGGCTTCAAGGAGACCGCTTGGCAAGTTTATAGAGCATGAGATTGAATCGCCCTTACAGTAGAGCTTCCTCCAAACTGCAAGGGTTAACTTCTTGTTTTGGTCTAGGGAGGAGAGTAGTACCTTGATCCGGCTTGTTCTTAGACCAGTCTAAGATCCTGTGATCATCACGTTTTCTACTGTATAGAACAAGGATGCCAAGGGACATGCCATTGCTGCAGCGTAGGAGACTGCAGGGGGCACTGTCACTGCTGGCTCTGAGATCAGGTGAGTTACTGGTTTCCTCCCTAGACCAAAATGAGCACGTAACCCTTGAAGTGAGGGGTAGCCCCACTGCAAGGGTTAATTTTTCCCAGAGCTCTACTTTAACCACTTCAGGCGGGTGGCCACCACAGATTTCCCTAGGCTCTGTTGTCCCCTGTCTGGGCCCAGGCCTGGTGGGTCTCCCTGCATCAATCGGAGGGAGATCGGGAAGCTTCTAGCTGCTGATCTCTCTTCCAATCGCTGGACCCGGAAGTGATGTGTATTACATGACTTCAGTGTCACTGTGCACATTCTCCAACTCTTAGAGCCAGGAGAAGCAGATTGCTGCTTAATCAGCTTCTTTGGGGTCCTTGGGTGACAAAAGGGGTCTGATCTGTCTCCATAAAGAGGATCTGTCGCATCATATTTGCTATTGCATAGGGGGCTTGTGGAGTTCAAAAGTTTTTTTTTTTTTAAAGTCTAAATATAAAATGCTTAGAGGCCTCTGCCACCACAGCATGCATCGGGTCTGCCTACATTCAAATACAAGTTGCGCCACACGTTGCATATCGCTGTGAATATAGGAGTGAGGGCAATCATTTATAGAGCCATCAATCACTGTTCACACTAAACTTCTACTGCTCATCAGTTTAAAGTGTCGCCTATGGGAAATGTTGGATTTTGTAGTTTTTATGGTTTCGGGCACTCAGTTTAAGGCTTGACATGCTTATCTATTTACCTGACTTGGCCCCCATCTTTTATATTACCAAAAAAAGGGTATTTTCTGTCTAACTAAATTAGATTTTAGTGTATCTAATCCTAAAAATATTGGTTTCATAAATATTTGCACACATACTGTGCAACCTAAATTTGCAAATTTTTTTTATTCTTCAGGGTTTCGGCTTTCAGAAAATATTTAATTGTTTGAAGCTGTTTTCCTGGCCAAAAATTCATGTTTTGTGTTCAGAAATTGCTCCGGACAGCAAGTGGTTAAAGGAGAACTATGAGATGAGTGATTTCCACTCACCTCATAGTTCTAGCCGACCTGTGACAATGAGACTGTCACAGGTCGGCTCAGTAGATCGGGAGGTGAGCGAACACATACCGGGTTCCCTCACCTCTCGATCCTGTCACGGCTCTCTGCCGTGACAGGGGGAGGGGCTGGATTCCCCTCTCCCCGCTCCGATCTGCCAGCGTTGACTGGCGGAATGGATGGAGGGGGCGGGTACAGCTGGCTCTGCCTCTAGATAGGCAGAGCCAGCTGTCACTCACGCAGCTGGGCGGATGTCGACATCGATGTCGGGATCCGCTGCGGCGTCTAAGTATACCACGATCTGTAGCTACAGCTCGCGGTATACTGAGCTTAGTGTAACAGGAGGACGCTAGTTTGTGTCCTCCCGTTACCCTAAGGAGAACTATGGGGAAAAACGCTGACCCCATAGTTCTCTAATGCACACTTCCACCTTTTGCAGCCAAATCTGAGAAACATTAACTGTTCCCATTCACACAGCATACCTAGAAATCAGATTTGCATTTAGCTTGTTTGGGAGAGGGTTATACATATGACTACAGGCAGCTTGTAGAATACGAGTAATACAATATAGGGGCAATGTCTTTTGAAGATGAATGACATGCCACCCAAACTTTGGCCTAACTTTATTTGGACATGGGATGCAAATGTCTAAGATCTGCCAGAACAGTACATACAGGGTTAATTGTGGTAAATTACTACACCGCCCCCTCAAAAGAAAGGGAGCTTATGTAAGAATTTCAATAAGCATTCAGAAAATGAGGTGAGCGGCAGTCTTTATATTTAAATATTCTGTGAATGGGAACATATGCCAAAGTATTATCCCAATTTGGCTGCAAAAGTTGAAATACACTTGAAAGCTTTGATCTGCTGCAGAACTGCCAGATAGTCCAATGGCATGCTCTGCAATTACATGGCAACAAGGCAATCGCAATCTGCTGAATTTACTGCAAAAAGCGGTCAGGAGGGCTGGCTAGTTTAAGGCAGGCAATGCCCTTGATTGAAGCATATAGCATGTGATTTTAGAAGAGGGCAGTTGAGCATGTAGGGAGATATTCAATCCTTGTCTCCAAAAAGGTAAAAGGATTGCATCTCAGAGGGGATTGTGGTGCTTTACCATAGATTAAAGCCATCCCGAAGGATGGATTTTACACAGTTCAGGATCCCCCCATTAAGGGGTCAAAATTTCAAGTCCTGAGCTACCAGCCAGGCCTTAAGAGTTACTCGCCACCTAACCCCTACCCTGCCGTGGCCTTAACTCCACCCCTAAACACACCCTCTTAAACCTTATAAATGACACGTATTTATTTTTGTAACTTTATTTTGCATAAAACATCTAACAACTTTAACAATATTACCATAAAGCTCCTTGCCCCCACATATAAAATACTCTCACCCCTGTTCCTTGCCTCCTTACACATAAAATAAGAAGCCCCCTGTCCCCTACACATAAAATAAGAAGCCCCCCTGTTCCCTGCCCCCCACCATGTAAAGTAAAACAATGAAGCCCCCTCACCTGCTTGTCTTTCTGCAGGGAGGAGGCGAGCAGGCAGATCCCTGGTCTAGTGTGATTAGTAAGGTCTGCTGCAGACATTACTAATCGCTTTGTTTTCGACCCGGAGCTCAATGAAGAGCTGCGGCTGAAAGAACAGAGCCCAGCAGGAGCAGCTGCTCCCACTAGTCGGTTACTGACTAAAGCCTGACTGCATTTCCACTCGCCAGGTGAGTGGAAATTTTGAGCCCTGCCCTCATTCATGCGATAGGGCCACAGGGCATCTAGCATGTTGTCATCCTGCATGCTATATTGGCCTTTCACATAGTAGTATGCTTTGATGGTAGGCTTTATATTTTGCGTGTTTGGCTCATGTAATCTGAAGGCTGACTGGTCAGCTTTTTCTTTTTAAGGTTTGTTCAAAGACTCGTTGCTCCTGTCCACAAAAGAAAAGACACATAGATCTGAAGAGGCCTCATCGCCAGGAACTGTGTGGTCGCTGCAAAAACAAAAGGCTGTCTTGTGACAATACGTACAGCTATAAATATATAGTCTGATGGGGAGCGTGGCATTACGACTGAAGAGCACTTTGTTCAACCGCATTGCACTTTGTGGCGTTACTGGAATCCTGGTTTTTGACCCCGGCATTGGATAACGGACTAATGATTTTTGTATCTGTCTTGTAATGTGGCAATATTTTGTATACATTGTAAATAAAGTTTCTTTGAAAGTATATGAATTGGCTGACTTGGAAAGATTTTGATTGATGGCAGATTGTTGCTGTACTGCATCCTCCACATCATTCAATGCAACAGTAGCTCACTGCAGGAGTTGGCATAGCAGTGCTTTGACTTCACAGCCGAAAGCCGAGCTCTTCATATTGAGCTTCCAGGGAACTAGAACTAAGGCATATAGAGCATAGCTTAGTACTCATCTAGTTCCTGAGCTCCATTATGAACAACATTACTAATGTTCTGTGCAGCAAAACAATTTATCTTTATGCTGGTGATCACCACTAATGGTGATGGAAAATAACACAAGTTCAAGGTGTGGAGAAATCTTCCAATGGGATTCCTGTTCAATGACTATGAAAGCAAATTGCCTGCTTGTAGAGACTTTCTCCACCAGGACATGCAGCAAAAATAAACCAGTTTAAACCCCAGTTTACAATAGTTTGGCATTACAGACCCGATTGTTGGCCAGACATGTAGTGTTTGCTAGATGCTTTAGTTCTCCAAACACAAATGGTGTAGATGTGGAATACCTAAATGGTGACTGGCACTGTTTGGCTGCGAATCTTCAGATAGGCTGCTTTTGACAAATCTGTTGAAAGCTCCTCTTGTCAAATGGAGGGGTGCCAACAGGGCACACTGACCAAATTTTGGCTGAGTAATTAGCACTCTAATTCAAGCAATGCATGGCCAGCTTAAAACCCCTTGGAGTTCCTTCATCTGTATAGTAATTAGGGATGCAGTATCTGTCCCAGCACTGGGCATTTTTACTAGTCAATGCACAAATACCAGCACTTTACAGTCTTAACCCCTTCATGACTGAGCTAGTTTTCAGGTTCTGTTCAACAGCAGTAGCTGCTTGAGGTCCTGCACTTGCTGGGGACCTAGGCAGCCTTCCTGTTTACAGATAGTCGCTCATCTCCTTCCTGGATAACCACACTGCCCACTGGATCATGGGTAAGATCCTGCCTAGCCCACCATAGACGCACCACCCAGCCTTCCCGAGATCCTCCAATGTAGCAATCAGGCTGGCACCCCGAAGCAGCACCGAGTATGTAGCTTCATATTTTGCATTGCTGTATAATGTATTGCTGAGATTTGTAGCCCCTCCTATAGCTTGGTGTCAGTAGCAGAACTACCAGGGGTGCAGAATTTGCAGCTGGGACTAGGCCCTGGTGCTCCATCACTGTCCTAAATATTAGTCTGGATTTTAGAAAAACTGTCATGACACTAAAGTATTGGTTATTTGTATAGGTGAGTATTGAGGAAAGTATCGATACTCATACTGTCAAGACTTTTTTTTTTTTTTAATCTGTTGGTCCCTATGTCAATCTAATCCTTGGCATTACACAGCCCTGCCAGAAAGCACATCCAGGTTGATTACTTGACCTTCCCTACTGAAGTTGAGCAATACAGTCGGGTCTTCCTTTCAATTGGACAATGGAAGGGACATAACTCTTCTCTCCTGCTTGTTTAGGACCAGTGACCCCCACTCAACATTGGCAGATTATATTGGCTGTTTCCCTTTTGACAATCACATTAGTGTAAGTAGTTACTATTTTAGTGTGACTTCCTTGATCAGGAATAGGCTCAACCACTTAAAGCAGAGATTTATGCCACCAAGAGACCTATGACAAATAGTAATAGTAGTGACTACACTTTAGTGTACACATGTGATATCTTCCCTTGTTCCCTTCTGATCCCCATTAAATAAATGTTTTTCAATTTTTGTTTTTCAACATGTGGTGGATAGGCCAACAGGTTCCTGTACACCACCTTTCTGCCTCGGATTTTTTTTCTTTAATATATGAAAACGCATCCCCAGAATACAGTGGTACCTCAGTTCACAGACCAAATTGGTTCCACAATTCTGGTCACGAACCGAATCAAATGTCCCCCATAAGGTTCAAGGTTAATAAAATGAATCCGTTCTGACCCCTACGAACCTTAATGCTCCGCATGTTCTTGTCACCTTCATTACCGCTCTGCACTTTCTTTGGAGCCATGCTGGATTGAATAATACTGTGCTAAAAAGCACCCAAAAAAACAATCTCTACTAGAGGAATAAGAAAAGAACTTGCCGCACTCCTTAACGGGACTCCCCCAAAAAAAGACGGGTGTGCGAAATGACTGCGGATGGTGCTGCCACATGTAGACAAACAGGAAGACGCCACCAGCACACCAACGATAATAACAGCAATTAGATGCTCATTTATTGACATATGCTGTCTCTCATTGGCAAGTGCTTTCTGAGCCTGACGAAGGGGACAATGTGTGGCCCTGAAAGTGCTTGCCAATGAGAGACCGCATCTGTCAATGGAGCATCTAATTGCTGTTATGATCGTTGTTGGAGTGCTGGTGACGTCTTCCTTTTTCTCTACTGGAGGAAGCCACAACCACATGTCAGAGTGGGGAAGTTGGCCATAGTCGTGTTAGTCACCCAATGTGGCGTTCATGAACGGAAGCAAAATTTTGCCAAACTTTCTGTTCGTGAACAGGTATTAGTGTACTTTTCCCATTGTCTTCCAGAACAGCGTGCGACAGAGGCTCCACCCCTTCTAGTAGGAAACACGTCACCCCTAGTTTTAAAATCCCGCCTCTCTCTTAGCTCATCAGTTTTCCGTGTTTCCTCCGTTAGGGGGAGGCATGTCACCGAGACGGTGAGGGGGCCTCTCTGAGGTATGGAGGTCTTGTTCCCTCTCAGTTGGACCCTCGTGAAGGGTCATAGTACCTTAATTAGGCCACTGGTACACTCCTCTGGTAGTAGGGGATTCCCCACCAGATCCCTTCGTCCTCTTCAGTGCCCGGGGAGGGCAGCACCGGAACCTGCGCTACCCCCTTGGCTAAATCCTTGGACCGGGTGGTTCGATAGTCAGGGGCCGCCGGTCTGAGGGTTCCGGGAGGTTCTCCACGGCCGGATCGGATGGCCGACGAGGTCACTTCCGGTGCGGGGGACGCACTTCTGGGCGCCGTGGCCTTGCGTCCCAGGCCTCGTTTCCGGCGCAGAGGAAGGGGGATGGGCCTGGCTGGTGCACGAGGCATGATCACAGGCTTCTCTGTGAAAAATCGCCGGTTGGAGAACTAGTTTTTCCCCGAGATGGATCCGGTTCCTACTCTGCAGGCTGCACAGATGGATGCGGTTCCTCCAGGCACCAGCTCTACTCAGGTAGGTGGATACGTCGTCTTATTTCCTCCATGTTTTTCTGACTATAGCCTTTTTCCTCCACCTGGGGCTCCATGGTGTTGGGCTGAGGGTGTTGAGGGGGTACTATAGCTGTCAGAAGCAGGCTGGCGGCCGGCCGCTCGGCCAGCTTCGGCTTTCAGCACGGCTCAGCCGAGCCGAGGCATATGCGTTCGGCTCGGCCACAGAAATTTTCATTGGGCAGAAACTAATCTGTGTTCCCTCTCGGCAGTACACCTAAAGGGTACACAGACTAGTCTGGCAGACTATCTGAGTCAGTTTCAAGTTCTCCAGGACGAATGGAGCTTGGATCAGGAGGTCTTCGACCTCTTAACTCAGAAGTGGGGTTTACCGCAGGTGGATCTGTTTGCTGCACAGAACAATGCAAAGTTAGGCCAATTTTTTCCCCTGAATGCAGCAGACGCACTGTCGCATCCATGGGGTTATCACCTCTGCTACGCGTTCCCGCCTATCCATTTAATTCCAAGGGTTCTACAAAAATTCTTCCTAGAACGGACGGACTTGATATTGATAGCACCCTTTTGGCCCAAGAGAGCGTGGTTTACGACGGTGGTGTCTTTGACAGACCGGCCGCCTTGGCTGCTCCCGATCAGCCAGGGGTTGTTGTCACAGGGGTCGGTTATGCACCCGGCAGTAGACAGGCTGTCCCTCCATGCCTTCTATCTGAGGAGGTGATTTTAAAGAACTAGGGTCTTTCTTCCAGGGTGATTAGCACCTTACTATCTAGCTGTAAGTTGGTTACACGTAGGATTTATGGTAAGGTGTGGAAGACCTTCTGCTCCTGGAAGGGGAGGCATAACAGGAATTCAAATATTCCAGCTGTGCTGGATTTCCTTCAGGACGGGGCGGACGGGGGCTTAGCTATCAGCACGTTGAAGGTGCAAGTGTCGGCCCTGAGCGTATATTTACAGTACTCCCTAGCTAATGACCCACTGGTGAGTAGGTTATTTAAGGCTCTCAAACTGATTAGACCAGTTACACGTTTTTCCGTTCCGAAGTGGGATTTGTCTCCGGTCCTAGAGGGGCTGATGATTCCCCTTTTAAACCTCTAGCTGATCTCATGCTTACTTTGAAAACCATATTCCTGGTTGCTATAACCCCAGCTAGGAGGGTTAGTGAATTGCAGGCTCTGTCGTTTTGATAATTTTGCCTTCATTCTGCAATAATCTGACTAATCAGAAAGCGGCAGAGTTTCAACACCTAGATGTTAGACAGTGTTTACTAGAGTACCTTAGAGCAGGCCTTCTTAAACTTTCTCCACTCGTGACCTCTTTTTGGCCGAGGACATTTTTAAGGGACCCCAACGTCGGTAGTAACTACAGCATTCCGGAAGTCGGATGCCATTTTTGTTCTTTTTTCAGGAAAGGATAAGAGGAAGCAAGCCTCGAAGGTTTCGATAGCTAGAGCTATTTATTCAGGAAGCTTACAGGGCCAAGCAGGTTTGTGTCCCGCCCCTTTTGAATGCACACTCAACCAGGGGGTTAGCCACCTCGTGGGCAGAGAGGTCTGGTGCCACTCCGGAGCAGATCTGTAAGGCCACAACCTGGTCGATTTTTTCCACGTTCGTCCGCCATTACCGGCTGGATTTGAATGCGGCAGCTGAACAGACGTTTGGCAGAAAGGTACTCCAAGCCGCAGTCCCGCCCTAAGTTGGTAAGTTCTTGTTTATCCTCTCGCAAGCTGTTCCGGAAGACGAATGGGAAATTCAGAGTTAGACTTACCGGTAACTCTCTTTCCTATAGTCTTCCAGAACAGCTGGATTCCCGCCCTTGGTTAGATAAGTGGTGGTGAAATGTGATATAAATGTGATATTCTGTTGTTTTTGGTTCCTGTCATTACAGGGTCTTCCTTCGGTTCTCGATACAACTGATGAGCTAAGGGAGAGGCGGGCCTTTTAAAACAACTAGGGGTCACGCGTTTCCTACTAAAAGGGGTGGAGTCTATCTCTCGCAAGCTGTTCTGGAAGACTATAGGAAAGAGAGTTACCGGTAAGTCTAACTCTGAATTTCGATGTGGCTGCTTCTCCCTACTGGGAGACCTGGGTGTTGCAGACTTTAGCTGTGCACTCAGCTGTTTAGATGTGCCTGCAACCAGTCAACCAAAGGGAGGACGGGGATTTGTTTTCCTATAAAGATCGGGAACAAAATTGGTCAAATGAAGGTGGGCTCATAACTGCAGCAGCTTGAAATAGTTAAATTTGAGATGCAAGTTCACAGGGAACAAAGTATTCAGTTTCAATGCAGGAGAAGTGTGTAGTGGTGTTAAGGCTGGAGTTCAGCTTTAAATGGTGTTACCAGTCATCCACCACTTTTATTGTAGGCTGTATAGATCAGGGACTTAACATTCTTGGACATAAATGTATATTTGTCAATTTAATTTGCTTTATCAGAGCTGCTGAAATGTTGAGACATTAAAAAACTGAAGACCCCTACAACTGTAAAGGTCACTCGGCCAGTTTGAAAGGAATGGGACCAGTGCACTAACCAAGTTGCCACAATGGGGGAGGGATGGAAAAGGACTGGGAGGTAATGGGATGAGAGGGACTAGGTGTGCTGCTCAAGTTCCCAGATGGAGGTAACCAGAACTGCAGCTGTAAAGGAAGAGAAGGGAACAGAAAAGCCAAGCAAAACACATGGCTAACGCACTCATCAACTTCCATGTGCCCTTCACTTTAAAGCTGGTGATAAGTTGATGAGTGCGCTTGCCATTTGTTTTGCTTGACTGATTTGGTGCAGTGACGCACTTGGGGGTCTCAGCTGCCGTTGTGATGTGCGGGGTCCCT